TGTTTTAATATGTGTTTATTCAATTTTGTAAAAAAAAGAAAAGATCATGGAATTTCATATTTATAACCTTTAAGATAAAATAATTTTTGGAAAAATTAGTAAAAAAAATCCCTATTTGAAATTTTAATTGGCCAGAAGGACCTCAAATTGTGCAAGTGCAAGTATGATCCGCTGTGTGCAAGATTTTTTTTTAACCAATTTTCCCATAATTTTTTTTCATTTCTATAAGGAAAAAAGTTATTTTTAATTTTTTTTAATCTTATATTTTATAAATATATATATTCGCGTACTAACAACTAATTAATTATTTTTTCATATTGCATTTATTATATTGGCAAAAAAATTATTAACAAATTTATTACTTCAAATAAAATTATAAATTAAAATCTATCTTTTATGTAATTATTATATTAACTTATATATTTTTTAGTAATTTGTATATAAAAAAGTGTTTCTGATAATAACTAATCAAATAATTTCAGTATATAAAAAAGTGTTTCTGATAATAAGTAACCAAATAATTTCATAGTCTCATTTTATCAAAATCACTTTTTTTTTACAAATTTATTCTTTCAAAATTTATTTTTAAAATCACTTTTTTTCTCAGAAGTTATTTTCAAATCATAGTTTGGATTTTATCCAAACATCTTTGTAGATTCATTCAAGTTATTTGTTGGCAAAAAATGCAAATCATTTATATTTCATAAATAATATCTCTTATTTTTAAACTGGAAATAATGTGTGAAAAATATTCAACTTTTTTACTTAATTTTTTGTTTTGAAGATTTGTTTCACTGCCTAAGCACCCAATAGTCCTTTCTTTGGCCCGATTAATACAGGAACTTGGTTGATTCAAATCAATATTTCGACATCTAATATAAGATAAAAACAACTTATCTTATTTAATATTTTGAACATTGACAAACCATATTAGGAAAAACTAACTTCTCAGGTCAACCCAACCTTCTTTAACAATTATGTATAATTATAACCTATAATTATAAGTATTATTATTCTGAGGGCTAGAGCTCATGGACATGAGAAAAAACCCGGCGGCCCTTAAATGTGAATTGGGCTCAAAAATGTGAATTCAGGGTTGAAATCAATTATCATTACAGTCGACACAAGATTATAAGTTTAGAATCTTATTAGCAGACGGTCTATAAATAATTTTGTAAACATTTTCTGAATATGAATACATACTTTGGTCTTAACGAGGTCCTAAGACCCAACTCCCCTAGGTTTTTTTTTTTTTAAAAAAAATCATTTACCATTACTTATTATGTAATACTATCTCTAATTCTTAATATAAGATCTTGTTTGATTTTTATTTTAATTTTAAATATAAGACCCAATCCACTTTGTCTCTCATATTTATTTATTTTTTTTTCAAAATAATTTTTCTGATAATAATAGTTTTAACCAATAAACCTGATTAGCAGCAAATAATAAATTACTAGATTTTTTTTTTTTTGAATACAGAAGAGGGCTAAGGCCCTAAAACAGCAAATAAACTGACAGTGGTGGAATCTAATCCCAAGCAATCATTAGCAACCCCTTAAGAACAGCCCATTGCTCTGCTTCAAACGCACTACAAATGCTGAGGCTATGAGAAAATCCCACAACCAGCTCGGTTTCTAGAAGGAGACATCACTCTATCAACATTTAATTTAACCCAATTCAAGGGTTGATGTTGCCATGCATGCCGTGGGGAGTTGGACAATTGAACAAAGTCAATATTCTGCAAATGAACAAAACTTTTTCCAGTTTTGAGTAATATATCAGATGTGAGCCTCTCCTCCGGCAGATTCCTCCTTTTCCTCATCAGCCTACGGGTATTAGCAGCAGTTCTCAGCTATTGTTCCCTGCTAAGGGCAGGTTTCTACACGTTACTCATTCGTCTGCCACTCTTCCTTTTGGTGGGGAGTTAAGACAATTTAACAAAGTCAATTTTCTGCAAATGAACAAAACTTTTTTCAGTTTCGAGTAATAGAAAAAGAGCCATCTGCAGTAGCATTTCAAGAAAGAGCATCCTCACCAGCTTCAAGCATTGGAGGTAGCATGCAAATAATTCTTGGTAAGATTTCACTGGGAATGATAGGAGCTAGGCACTGGAAGTCCCAAGCACCAAAATTAGCCGAGTCAGCAACTTTACTTTGCTCTTCTTCCAAAGTCAGAGGTTTTCTACACACCGATTTTAAAGACTTATCAGGGAGGAGCCATTGAACAGTGAAGATATGAACTGATTTCCCATTTCTAATTGTCCACTTCATTCAATAACTAAGTATTCTTCCGGTTCTTAATATAAGACCCATTTAACTAATTTGATTAGATTAAGGAAGTTAGGTAAGTTAGTTAATTATAAGAAATGTGACACATTTTTCTTAAAATACCATAATCATCTTTCTTAATACCCTATCTTCCTCTTCTACTTGATTATGGTTGAGGGAGTATTCATAGGGGTAATTTAGAGAAAATTGATAAATATGACAAATGAGTCTTATATTTAGGACCAAAGCCAACTCAACAATTGGGTCCTATATTAAGGATCGGAGGAGTAATAATATAAGTTCTACCCAATTCAGATGAGAAATAAAACGTGTAAAAAAATATTGGTTACAAAAATCTCAGAAAGTGTTTGTTTAATATTTATTAATTATCATAATTGCTATAATGCTATTCATTTGTTCAATATTTATCAACCATCAATTGTGCTTCATAAAATTATCACTTCACCCTTGTGCTTCAAAAAATTCATTTAGTAATTTAGACATTTAAAAGGAAAAAAATGAAAAACATTATGTGTAGATCATAGTGAAAGGGACTTTAGCTGTTTAAGCACGAGTTCTTGAGTCCGAGTCCGAGTCCGAGTCTATGTGAATGCAAAAACATCTTTGGAAAAGTAACCCAAATTGGGCCTAACTTTGCTCGAATCTAACCTAGTCAAATACCCATATAAAAGGAAAACAAGAAGGATGCCAAAGGTGTTCTTTAGGACAGTCAAGCATATGATCCTTAATCTTATAAAGATATACTTAATTATGTTTATAGAGTTGTAATTCATAAAGCATAATAGCATTATACAATATATATGATCAACATAAGGCTTAATGATATTGTAGTTATGAATTATCAATTATGCCGCTATAAGTTTGACAAATTTTTTTAAAGGCATGCTCCTTTAAGTTACTAGAGTGCTTTAGGCTTGTTACTACCAAAACCATCAATACTAAAGCTTACCTGAAGTTACAGCTTTTGTTTCTTAATGACCACTCATCTTCTTAGAACTGTCACCTGATGCATGTGGATTAGATGCTTCTACCAAAAACATACAGTTAAGAAGAAGATGAGAAAGAGGAAGCCATAGCTAAACCCAAAGAAAAATAAATCCTTGAACCAAACCAACTATATGCTCATCCAAAAGGTCCAAGGTATCAAATAGCATATGAATGTAATTTGCAAAGGCGTAATTTTTTTCACAGTTTAACATGTAAGTCACATAGAAAAATTGAATCAAAGCCATTACAGTTATGTCATACCTTGATTTTTGTCCTTCATACATTCCTTCTCTATAATGGCACGTCATCATCAGTGCCAGGAAAATATGAGCAAGGAACTAAAGGAAACTCCAATCAGAAAGCATAATGGCATCCCCTAATGCACAAATTTTGACTAGTTATCTTAATTTCAAGGAGTACATGTAGAAATTTCTCCTTTCATATGGGAGGAAAGAAGCAAAAGACTGATGATATATTAAGTATGAACTAATGGAAAATGAAGAACATTTGAAAATTTTTATGGCAAACTACAATACCCCGATTAAAACTTAACATGTAGCCCAAAGAATCAGAATACAAACAAACAAACAACCAACCACCTCTACAAGATTTTTAACACTAAACCCTTTTACCATTTATTAACAAGATCCATATAAACAACAGATATTCTGTATTATGTTACAACTTTCATCTGATATTAAGCCACACCCAAGCAGTATAAATTGATAGTGCATATTTACTCCAACAAAAAGCACAAGAGGTAACTCAACTTATATTTGTTTCTAACATAGATGGTGTCAAAAAAGACTACATCGCAAAAGATTTTTCAGACGTTGATGACGTTGATCCTCACCAATATCTACTGTGCAAAAGAAGTTTGAATTCATACCGTGCATCTGCACCCAAAAATCAAGTAGAAGCTTGGCATCCCCTGACTCCAGGCCCCAATTCAGACCAACCACGATTTTGTATTCAGCGAACTGTCTAGCCATTGCAGCAAAATACTTTCTTGTTTGCTCACCGACAGCTTAAGTTCGTAAAAGCTTATGATTACATTCCTTCACAAAACTATGCATTACCTGTTTTCCATCAAGCATTCTTTTTACATACTTGCTTGCTTTACAATCAGTCAGAACAAGATCTTCAACCAGTTGAATTTTCAGCATCTTGCTTGTTCTGTCGGGCATGTGGTCGATTGAATGATTTGCCATGCTCTCTTTCTGTTCCATACCTGGAACAAGCAAATTTTGCATTTATAAATTCTCATGCTTAGGTAGGCCCCCTAAATAGTGATGAACCTGAAAATTCTAGGGTGCATAGAGCTTTTTGGATGCGCTTGCAAAACTGATGAAACTAAGCAACCAAAGGTGAGAGAGGAGAGGAATTACAAGAGTGAGGTACGTCTAGTGCTCTGATCTGATGGAATTTCTATAGGGAGGAGAGGAATTCTAGGCGTCATTTTGGTGATAGATGCTAGTGTGTGTGAGCATGTTCCATCAAGCTCATGTAAAGCCATAAAAACAAAAGAAACCACCAGTTACAACAAAAGTAATAAATAAATAAGTAAAAAATATGACTTGAAAAAAAAAAAAAAATCTTAAATCCAAACATCACTACAGCCAAACTTTTTTCCCCTGAAAAAAACACATTGGCCACCCTTGTCCATCATGAACACCAGTAACACAAAATATGGAGTAGAGTGACAAACCTTCTTTTATCATTTCAAGAGACCTTGATGAATACCTTGTCGATAAGATTCTTTGCCTCATCATTCTCACCATTTTCCAAAAGAGGTATAATAAGTGTTTCAAAAGTTATAGCATTAGGTACGCATCCATTCTCTTTCATTTTATAGAGCAAGGCCTTTGCCTCATCATATAAACGCTCTGTACAAAGTCCTTTGATCATAGCATTATATGCTTGGACATTCAAAGGATAACCATTAACCAAAAGAAGCTGGAAAATCTGTTGCGCATCACTTAATCTGTTACCCTTACACAAACCATCAATAAGTATGGTATATGTGTAAGTATCAGGCCCAATTCCTTGGTTGACAATTTGCTTAAATAATGCAATTGCTTGGTCAAGATGTTGACTTTTGCACAATCCATCTAATAAAATACTGTAAAATATTATATCAGGAGTATGGCCACTAACATGCATCTCATAAATAACATCTTGCACATCAGAGATTCTGCCTGACTTGAACAAACCGTCGATAAGAGAACTATAGATGATAGTATTGGGAGTCAAGCTTTTATGACGCATTTCTTTAAAGAGATTCACGGCATCATCCACCATCTTGATTTTACAAAGTCCATTAATCATAATGCTATAAGTAATAATATATCATATGTGAGCCTCTCCTCGGGCAGATTCTTACTTTTTCTCCTCAGCCTACGGGATATTAGCAACAGTTCTCAGCTATTGTTCCCTCCTAAGGGCAGGTTTTTACACGTTACTCATTCGTCTGCCACTCTTCGTTTTGATGGGGAGTTAAGACAATTTAACAAAGTCAATTTTCTGCAAACGAACAAGACTTTTTTCAGTTTCGAGTAATAGAAAAAGAGCCATCTGCAGTAGCACTCCAAGAAAGAGCATCCTCACCCGCTTCAAGCATTGGAGGTAGCATGGAAATAAGTGTTGGTAAAATTCCACTGGGAATGATAGGAGCTAGGCACTGGAAGTCCCAAGCACCAAAATTAGTCGAGTCAGCAACTTTATTTTGCTCTTCTTCCAAAGTCAGAGGTCTTCTACACACGGATTTTAAAGACTTATCAGGAAGAAGCCATTGAACCGTGAGGAAATGAACTGATTTCCCATTTCTAATTGTCCATTTCATTCAATAACTAACTAACAATATAAGTTCTACCCAATTCGGTTGAGAAACAAAAGCGTAAAAAGATAGTGCTTACAAAAATCTCAGAAAGTGTTTGCATAATATTTATCAATTATCATAATTGCTATTCATTTGTTCAATATTTATCAACCATCAATTGTGCTTCATAAAATTATCAGTTCACCCTTGTGCTTTATAAAATTATCGAGTAATTTAGATATTTAAAAGGACAAAAAGAAAAAGAAAAACAAAAGCCGTTGATCATAGTGAAAGGGACTTTAGCTGTTTAAGCACGAGTTCTTGAGTTCGAGTCCGAGTCTATGTGAAGGCAAAAAAGGTCTTTGGAAAAGTTACCCAAATTGGGCCTAACTTTGCTCGAATCTAACCTAATCAAATACCCATATAAAAGGAAAAACACAAGAAGGATGCCAAAGGTGTTATTTAGGATAGTCAAGCATATGATCCTTAAACTTATAAAGATAAGTAAAGCCCATACAGCTAATTAATTATCTCTATAGAGTTGTAATTCATAAAGTATAATAGCATTATATAATATATATGATCAACATAAGGCTTACTTAATGACCACTCATCTTCTTAGAACTGTCACTTCATGCTCATGGATTAGATGCTTCTACCAAAAACAAACAGTTAAGAAGAAGATAAGAAAGAGGAAGCCACAGCTAAACCCAAAGAAAAATAAATCCTTGAACCAACCCAACGATATGCTCATCCAAAAGGTCCAAGGTATCAAATAGCATATGAATGTAATTTATAAAGGCCTAATTTTTTTTCACAGTTTAACATGCAAGTCACATATAAAAATTGAATCAAAGCCATTACAGTTGTCATACCTTGATTTTTTTCCTTCATACATTTCTTCTCTACAATGGCATGTCATCATCAGTGCCAGGAAAATATGAGCAAGGAACTAAAGGAAACTCCAATCAGAAAGCATAATGGCATCCCCTAATGCACAAATTTTGACTAGTTATCTTAATTTCAAGGAGTACATGTAGAAATTTCTCCTTTCATATAGGAGGAAAGAAGCAAAAGACTGATGATATATTAAGTATGAACTAATGGAAAATGAAGAACATTCGAAAATTTTTATGGCAAAATACAACACCCTGATTAAAACTAAACATGTAGCCCAGAGAATCAGAACTACAATACAACCAACCAACCAAACACCTCTACAAGATCTTTAACACTAAACCCTTTTACCATTTATGAACAAGATCCATATAAATAACAGATATTCTTTATTATGTTACAACTTTCACCTGATATTAAGCCACACCCAAGCAGTATAAATTGATAGCGCATATTTACTCCAACAAAAAGCGCAAGAGGTAGCTTAACTTATATTTGTTTCTGACATAGATGGTGTCAAAAAAGACTACATCACAAAAGATTTTTCAGACGTTGATCCTCACCAATATCTATTGCACAAAAGAAGTTTGAATTCATACTGCGCATCTGCACCCAAAAACCAGGTAGAAGCTTGGCATCCCCTGACTCCAGGCCCCAGTTCAGACCAACCACGGTTTTGTATTGAGCAAACTGTCTAGCCATTGCAGCAAAAAATTTTCTTGTTTGCTCACCGACAGCTTAAGCTGGTAAAAGCTCATGATTACATTCCTTCACAAAACTATGCATTACCCATTTTCCATCAAGCCTTCTTTTTACATGCTTGCTTGCTTTACAATCAGTCTTAGAACAAGACCTTCGACCAGTTGAATTCTCAGCATCTTGCTTGTTCTCTCAGGCATGTGGTCGACTGAATGATTTGCCATGCTCTCTTTCTGTTCCATACCTGGAACAAGCAAATTTTGCATTTATAAATTCTCGTGCTTAAGTAGGCCTCTTAAATAGTGATGACCCTGAAAAATTCTAGGGTGCATAGAGCTTTTTGGATGCGCTTGCAAAAATGATGAAACTAAGCAACCAAAGGTGAGAGAGGAGAGGAATTACAAGAGTGAGGTATGTCTAGTGCTCTGATCTGATGGAATTACTATAGGGAGAAGAGGAATTCTAGGCGTCATTTTGGTGATAGATGCTAGTGTGTGTGAGCATGTTCCATCAAGCTCATGTAAAGACATAAAAACAAAAGAAACCACCAGTTACAACAAAAGTAATAAATAAATAAGTAAACATATGACTTGAAAAAAAAAAAAAATCTTCAATCCAAACATCACTACAGCCAAACTTTTTCCCCTAAAAAAACACATTGGCCAACCTTTTCTATCATGACCAGCAGCAACACAGAATATGGAGTACAGTGACAAACCTTCTTTTATCATTTCAAGAGACCTTGCTGAATAATTTGTCGACAAGATTCTTTGCCTCATCATTCTCACCTTTTTCCAAAAGAGGTATAATAAGTGTTTCAAAAGTTATAGCATCAGGTAAGCATCCATTCTCTTTCATTTTATAGAGCAAGGCCTTTGCCTCATCATATAAACCCTCTTTACAAAGTCCTTTGATCATAGCAGTATATGCTTGGACATTCAAAGGATAACCATTACCCAAAAGAAGCTGAAAAATCTGTTGCGCATCACTTAATCTCTTACCCTCACACAAACCATCAATAAGTATGGTATATGTGGAAGTATCAGGCCGAATTCCTTGGTTAACAATTTGCTTAAATAATGCAATTGCTTGGTCAAGATGTTGGCTTTTGCGCAATCCATCTAATAAAATATTGTAAAATATTATATCAGGCGTATGGCCACTAACATGCATCTCATAAATAAGATCTTGCACATCACAGATTTTGCCTGACTTGAACAAACCGTCGATAAGGGAACTATAGTAGTATTGGGAGTCAAGCTTTTATGACGCATTTCTTTAAAGAGATTCACGGCATCATCCACCATCTTGATTTTACAAAGTCCATTAATCATAATGCTATAACTAATAGTATCAGGAGCCAAACCACTATTGACCATCTTCTTGAGTAATTCTCTTGACTCACCAACATTATTGATCAAACAGTAACCATCCATTAAAGAGTTGTAAGTAACATGATTAGGCATTGTACCATACTTCATCATCATAGCAACAAAAGCTTCAGCTTTAGTCATACTTCCTTCCTTACAAAATGCATCGACCAATATGCTAAAAGTATACACATTAGGGTTGGTGCCCTTACGTATCATTTCATTGAACAGTTTTGTAGCTTCTGCCTTTTTACCCATGACACAAAAACCATATATCAAAGAGCTGTAGGTTACAACATTAGGAGATATTCCGTGATCAATAATTTCATGAAATAAATCACAAGCTTCAGTTATGAGTCTTTCCCTGCAAAGGCCATCAATAATCGTACTATACATAACTAAGTTAGGCTTAACTGGCCCTCTCGCCATTTTTTTGAGTAATTTAACAGCAGCTCTTGTTTTTCCAGCCTTACAGAGTCCATTGATCAGTGTGCCATAGCTAATTGCATTTAACTGAAATCCTTTTGCTATCAGATCATCATAAAAATCCAAGGCCTTTCCAACGTCATTATTGATGCAAAGGCCCTTCATCAGTGTGGTCAAAGAAATCGTATCTGGCTGACAGCCCATCTTAAGAATCTTGCCTAAGGCAGAGAAAGCAGAAGCCATTTGACCCAAATGGCAGTAACTATTAATCAAGATGTTCAGCGTTACCAGAGTTGGCGTGAATCCCTTAGATTCCGCTTGTGCAAAAAGGGAGATAACGGTTCGATGATGTTTCAACTTTGCAAGAGCTACTAGGATCTTATTAATTTGTATTATCGAGGGTTGGGGGCGCACATGAAGCAAGAGATTAAAAGAAGAGACGGCCTCTTCAATATTATGAGCATTTGTCGAATTGGAATGGAAACAGAAATAGAGAGTCGAGACATGTGAGGGAGGAAGAAGGAAGGGAGACGTAGAAGCTGCAGAAAACAGAGGAAATCGGGAGAAGAAATACCGCGAAGGAGCTCTGCAAAATGACATATTCAGTTGCATTCAGAAATTCAGATTCTTCAACAGAGTCTTCCACTAAGAATTGGGCGGTCGACGAGGAGGGGGAAGCCTATTCCTTTTATTTATTTATTATAAGTTATTTTCTTACCTCAATTTATTGCAGCTTAATTTGAAGAATGTTCTCATTTGGTTTCAATTTTTTCTGCCATCGATAATTTGGTTTCAATTTTAATCGCATTCATATATGAAAATTATTATTATTATTTATTTACGTATCACTTTTAAAATATTCAAGTAAAACAAGGCATTTTATTATTTATATCTCACTCCAAAAAAATTATTATTTGTATCATTTTTATTTCATTCAAAAAAGAAAAATGGGGGTGAGGTTTATTGAGATGGATGTCTCTATTTTTTACTTTTAGCCATGGGATATATGTGTCTATTTTAACATTAAAATTTCAATCAAAAGTAAGATTATATAAGTTAAATAAATTATTTAATTATAACTTATATTATATGATCTATCTAAAATATTTGAGTGTATAATTAGATTATATATTTATGATATATTAGTTTATGATTTAAGAAAATTAGTTTGGAAAAAAAAATAAGTAAATAATTTTTTTAATTTTTTTAATCTTTTTAAATTAGTTGACTGGATTTTATATTAAGGATTCAAGGTAATATAATTGATAGTTTACTTTAGCAATAGTCAAGTATAAATAACAAAACAACTCTTAAGAACAAGAAAATTATTAGACATAGGTAACTTATTTAAACACTTGTATCAACCTCATTTTTTTTTCAACACAATATTATGGGACCGGAAAAATACAACAGCAATACATTATTACAAAATAGTAATGAGATCTTTTTTTTTACATTATTCTGTTGGGAAAATGACATATAAAGAAACCTAAAAATGTGAAATGCCAAAATAAGAAGCTTAGAAAATGTATTGACAAATTGGGAAGTGTTGCCTGATAGGAGATGATGCAAATGTTGATCAATTACCAAAAGCCCTTGTACGACCCAAAAAAGCAACATTTTTGGTGGAGCTATAAAAAGTGTGGCGGGAGCTAGAGGAAAAAGTTGGAAGAGACCATGAACGTAGGAGCATGAACATGTGAAGCAAGAGCTGAATGAAGTAAGCAAGTGATGTTAGTATTCAGTGACTATATTCTTCTTCTCTTTCTTTTCTACATCTCCTTTATGCGTTGGTTCATGTTCTTGTTCCCTTTGGATGGGAATGTTGTCGATGTGGGGCTGGTTTTGAGGTGGAGATGGTGGTGAAGTAAGGAGATGGTGTGGGTATATAGAACCTATGGGGAAGGACTGTGATCAGAGGGTGAATGCATAGGGGAAGCAAAAACACTAAGGGAGAGGGGTTTGATGGTGTTACAAATGGGTCAGAGTTATTAGTATTAGATAAAGGCACAATATTGAAGGGGGATTCGAATAATAGAATGGATTGATTATGAGAAAACGAAGCATGAGTGTGGACAGGAAAGAAATGAGTGTTTTATTGCCAATTTTAGGCATAAATGTGTCAAACCCTAATCTGGTTGTGTAAGTTGATGATGATGGTATTATATTGGTGAAATTGAAGTGATAAGCTAAATGTTAAGCCAGTAACTTTTTCCTTTGTGTAGTTAAGGGTCACACTAGGTTCCCATCTTCTCAACCACATTATGTAGTGCACCCCACAATCCCTCTTGTAGACACAACAATATCAACACAGTTAGTTAAAACCTCTGGCATGTTCATTTATCACATAGAATTCGAAATTAACAAGACTGACAGGTTATTCTGCTGGGAAACTTTTACAAATATCATTTTAGACATTGGCTTTTTTCCAACCAGTCCTAGCTTGACCAAGTCCAATATAATATTGAACCTCTTCCTCTGCAAAAAGATTTAGGTGTGGTTCACCATGTTTCAGGACCAACATAGAAAGTTGAATGATTTTACAAGTTCAAAAACTAGGTTCTTACACATTCATCTACAGCCATTTCCACTGAGTCATTGATGACAACCTTCTTCTAATGATTCCCTCAGGCTCTCTCACATGCTGCGTCTCAAACACGTGACCTTGCAACTGAGACCATTCCTCCATGCCAGCAGGCCACGCGAGACACAAGCGATGACAACCTTCTTCTTCTTCTTCTTCTTTTTGTCCTTAGCTCCGAAATGGTCACTCATGGAGTCTAATATGTGGAAATCCAATGTGTTGGGTTGAATGGCAACGCAAAACTAGTGTTGGCCAATAAGAGCAGGACCAATTATGAATTCACATTCACCTAAGTTATAGCCAACAAACTCATGAAGAAAGAGCTTCCTATATTTTTAAACTTTCTAGGTTGGGTCATGTGCCATCATATTCTGCATGACATAAAATTGTTAATCCATTAATAGAGAATAAGTCATTTCCAATTCCATTGCTGTCATTGATATTTGAATTTGGAATTAAGTAACCTTATCATGAAATCCACATTGAAGATGTGCCTCTTCCCTGGCCACAACTTTGTCTTCATGTCCTCCATCACTGCCTTGCACACCAAATTAAACACCTACATTGCACAGTGAAAACATCATTCTTACACAATAATCTTACCAAATATTATCAAACATAAGCATGGGTGTAGAGACAGAGCATTTAAAAATACCCTGTTATTTACTCTATTCACTCCACTCAGGAAAAATAGCTGTTGTCGGTCTATATCTTCATCAAACATTTTAATGACAATCCTGCAAATATTGTCACATGTTAGTAACAGAAAGTATGGTGTTGGGGACATCATCATTTGTCATCCCCATATAGTTTATTGTCATTTTCAATTCGATTGCTGTCATTATTAGTACACACCATGTCATTTAAAACTCAGGCTAACCAGGGATATACCTACTTTCCCTCCTCCTCATTCTTGGGTCTATAGGATATTAAAGTGAAAAAAATGTCCCTTTCCTCCTTTGGCTTCTTCATCCTTGAAGCTGCCTGGAACTCCATCCACAAAGATTTAATTGTTGAACTCTTTGCCCTTGTTGACCTCCTCAGTTCAGTGGATTTTCTAGGTCTTGCTTCCTCCCCACTGTCACTGCTCTCCCGTTCTCGATCCAACAGCAAAGGAAGATTGGTAGGGGTTGCAATTTTTACATGTGTGTCTTCCTCACCCTTATCATCTGAATCCTCAACCTCCTTATCATCATCTTCCGCCTTTTCAACCACATAACCATGACTTACTTCCATGTCATCATGGTCATCTTTCTCCTCATCAACCACATAATCATGACTTTCTTTCCTGTCATCATGGTCATCTTCCTCCTCATCCTCGTCCTCATCGTTGTCATCATCACCTCTACGACCATCACGGTCATCCTCATCTTCCACTTCCTCAACCATGTAAGCATGACCTCCTTCCCTATCATGAAAGTCATGTTCTTCTTTATCCTCATCGTTCTTGTCATCTCCTTTGCTGCCATCATTCTTGTAACATCCTAAATATTAAAAATATATATTAATTAAATAATATAAAATAATATTTTATTATAAAATAATAATGCTTTATTATTTATAAAAAAAATCAAAGCATTCAGCTTTTCCACCGAATTTGGTGGAAAAGCTGATGCCATTTGAGAGGAAGAAGAATTATGGGGGGAAGACCATTGACAGAAGGAAGAAAATGGGAAGAGGCATTTATAAAGGAGAAGAATTTTGGGGAGGTCATTTATTGAAGGTAGAAAATTTGGGGAGGACAGTTGGCAATTTGAAGAAGAAAAAGAGGGAGTGATAGCAGGGAATGGAAAGAGAGAGTGAGAGGCGTAGAAGGAGAGATCGAGAGAAAAGAAGAGAACTGTTAGCATTTCGAAGAGCAATACAAGTGTTGGGAGATCATTTAGGTACATAAAAACACTTCTCTCTATTAAATTTTCTTTATGAATATTTCCTATATATTTAGAGCTTTATATTAGTAGTATCATTATAATGTTTGGAGAAAATTTTGTGATTTGGGTATAGAGTAAGTATTGAGTTTCGAAAATATTTGACCGTAGAAATTTAAAGATTTATTATTAAGAAATTTTAACCAGTTTAGATTTGTCCATTTATTACCTATGGTATTTAAAATCAAATTTATGTTGTTGAAAAATCTGTCATTTATTATATATATCAAATTTATACCGATTAAAACTAAGTTAAATAATTTATTTGGATTGTTTGATATATTATTGAAATTTTAATTGGTTTATATTTGTTTATTGATTGTTTTGAGAATTTTAAACTAAGATTTTAGTTGGAAAATGTATTATTCAAGATATATAGAATGTTTTTACAGATTAAATTTAAGTTAAATAACTTATTTGGGTTACTTAATATATTATTGATATTTTAATCCATTTAAAATGTAAAATAGGTTAAGACTACATTATTAGAAAAAATTTGAAACTGGAAACTTAAGTTATAAATTGAGATGCTTATAATATTAGATAAAAACAATATTTTATAAATATTTATAATTTAAATGAGTTATTTGGGTAGAAAAAAATTGTTATTTGAAGTAAAAAATTTTGGATAGTAAATATATGTATAAATATTAATAATAATAAATTCTATGTAATTTAAGTTAATTATTTGTATGTATATTAAATTGTATCTATATTATTTGTAGATTATCTTGTATTTCGGAGTTTGTAATTTGTGCTCTTATTTCTCAAGCTGTGAGGTTAAGCTTGGAGTAAAGGTAACCGGGGTTAATTTATTTTATATACACGTTTTGGATTGTAAGGTATTTATTATGTTTTTATTTTCTTAAGTTAATTTGTAAAAGTATGCCTGTGAATAAAATATATATTTTATTATATAACAAATTTTGGTGAAGTGGAAAGTATGTTGATTTAATTATGTTTGAGTTGTGTTTTATTGGGAATTATGTTTTCTTGGATTATTGAATTTAATATACTAATATTATGTTATTAAATGAAATGAAAATGTGTTATACTTTGTTTGAAATTATATCATCTTACTTTGAAGATTATGATATTTTGATTTATATTGTGACTATGCATGGGGTTCATATGTGGAGGATAATTGTTCTTAAAGCCTGCACGGCATGCCTACACTACGAATCCCAGTATTTGGCCTTTTTGTTAGACCCTGTAGTTCTTCCCCTTTTTTAGCCCAGAATTGAGAACGAACTCTTGGGTAGACACCTCTTATACCATAGTCCATTCTTGGGCAGTGTAGGTACAAGAGGGGACCCGTTACTTGATGTGAGTAAGGTGACCTTTGGCCGGGTTACTCAGCACAGAAAGCCCGGGCCCTTGTCAAAGAGTCATAAGGAGGAGCAAGGTGATAGGAGAGCATATTTTATTGTGTTGTTGCATATATGTACTTTTATATGAATTGTGTTGTGGATGGTGAGATATACTCCTTTTATGTGATTGTATCTATTAAAGTATCATTTATTTCTTAAACTATATTTAAGCACTACTTCACCAACTTGCCATCCTACTTGTATATGTTATAAATTAATACTTGGTTACTGGGACTTGACGTCTCACCCCGCTATTCCTCAATGCTTTTTAGGAGAGCCATCTAGTTTGGCTTGGCGTGAAGGAAAGCAACCAGAGGCATAGGCGAGCATAGCCTAGTAGTCCTCTTTTGGTTTAGGCATGTAATGTTATATATATTGCCATCTTAGGACTCACGACTGTGTTGACATATACTTTCTTTTGTTTGGATGACTGTATTTGATGGAATACTGTTAAAATGGGTGAAGGCTATAAGACTCTACTGTATGTGATACTCTTATGTGTATGACTTGTGGGCTGGGTTGAGCACCCTATGTTTCTTGTGCCCTAAGTCTTTATGGGATGAATGTTATATTGGGCTTGTGGGCGGTTACTGTGCCATGAGTCCTTGTCTTACATTTTGTTAAACTCATAGGTGTTTTATGTATCCTGAGCCACTTGGGATGTTTTCGGAATAAGCCAAATTCTTTATAACCATGATAGTATTTTAATGCTCTAACTCAATTCTTTTTCTGCCATAGTTATCATTTTAAAAATGGTTTTATAATTATGTATTAAGAAGAGGCCTTTTCAACTCTCATCAAGTTTCTCATCTCCACTTCCCGCTGCAACCTCTCTTGCAATCTCCTCCACCACTCGGTCAACGTGCTCAACTTCTTTAGCAACATTACCACCTGTATCACGAGCTGTTTGACCCCCTTCTTTAGCGGTGGCATTCTCATTTCCCATCCCCTTCACTTTGGCGTTCAATCCAATCTGCACTTTTATTAGCTCATCATCAAGAGCCTTCATCAACATCCTCTGGCTTTCTTCAAGCTTCTTCATGAAACGAGCCTTCAACTCCTTCAACGCTTGCATACACAATAAATGAAGATATCAAACAAATTAATCACTGTTATCATTGTCAGTATCTGACTAGTCATTTGCTAATCAAGTCTTGTCATCTTAAGGATCAACTTTGCTAATACCCTTAAGCTCAGGTTAGCTAAATTTTCTAAATTCTCACATACCAGATCTAAAGACTGCAGCATTGAACTGTCATCATCCCTTGTTGAGTAAATCTCACTGCCATTGGTTCCATACAATATTTCCATGCTGCTACCTCTCTCTTTCTCCACCCTCTCCTTTATCTTCTCCTCGGTTCAATATTCAATGGGGCTTGTTGAACCCTGGTCAATAGTTTTCCCCAGGGGGAAACACTCAGCAAAATAGAGCTGTAAAACCAAATAAATATAGGTCATTGATAAAGCCTAAATTTTATATATTTTATTTCACATTAATTTATGATTTAAATGATAATTTTGAGCTTAATTGGATTTTTATGCATTATTAGATTAATTGGTTAATTTTTGGATTTTTCATAAAAATTGAGATTTTGGATTAAAAATTTAAATATTTTGTGATTTCCTATTTTTGACTTGGAATTAATCTTTTTCTGTTTCTTTGGAAACAAGTCTCATATTTTTAGAAAGTTTTGCAATTTCTTGTCTAATTTTTGTGCATATCTAATATTTAATTTTGATATAGATTATATTATATTTGGATATAATCTAATTAATGAATACACTTAAATTCTTGTAAGTAATAAAGAGCATATAAGAAATCCAATGGTACAAGATTGTTTCTTGGAATTTAAGCACAATCCAATGGCTAATATCAAGTGAGTCAATTAATTACTAGGGATGTTCAAATTGTTCCGTCCCAGTCCTGATCATTTTGGGACGGGACGGGACAGGACAAAAAAATCTTCAGGACGGGACAAAATACTGTGCGGGATGGGACGGGACATGGGACAAGGTTGTCCTATCCCGGGGTATATAATTTTAAAAAACAATTTGCAAAGAAAATAAAATACAAAGAATTTTATAGATGCCCTAAATGACTGTTCCATTCTGTCTCCCTCTTGGTCTCGGCCTCTCCAGATCCTTGCCTTCGTCTCCTCCTGCTTAGTCTCCTTCTCACCAGACGCCAGTTACTGATTGCTGTGAGTACTCTCCTTGCCGTGACCGTCGCCGCACTATGACCTTCTTGCCTTCACTCTGCTCTGTTCGAGATGCTCACTCCCTCGAACAGCAGCGATAGGGCTCCTCATTCACCCCGCCGTCACCCACAGTTTACCCCGCCGTCACCCTCGCCTTTGAGTTTTCCCTGGTAGGTCTCGACAGTCGACCCAGCTCCGTCATTCAAGCTCGTTTGAACAGCAGCGAGTAGCCCTCACTGATTCCACCATCGCCCTTACCCACAGAGTCCCTTGTTGCCCTTGCCTTCAACTCTCCCCATGTACAGGCTGTAGGGGAGCCAGCTCCTTCGTTCTGACAGCATTGCGCAGTAACCCCTCAAACCCTGCCATCAACCTTTGACTCAATCATCGAGTGAAGTGATCTCTCTTCTCCTCCACTACGAGTCATCGTCTAAAACCTAAATCATCATCTCAGCATTTCGTAGGCTCGCAGGTGAAAGCTTCCTCTGGTTTTCCATACACTAATTCTTTTTTTTGGTACAAGTCTGGATGAAATGTGATGTTGAAGAATTAAAACACAATTATTGTTATTTGCCACCGATTCTCATGTTCAAACCTATTCGCCGAATTCAATTTGAAAGAGGCAGGGGAATTAATTATTAATACTCAATATTGATTGCTGGTCATGATTCTTGCCCTTGTATCCCGCATCGCCCTAAATCTAAAGGCTAGAAGGATAGTGGGGGGGTGGGAGAGGCATGGGACATGACGGGACACGGGAAAAAAATCCCGTCCCATCACTATTCACTGGGACGGGACCAAGACGGCCCGTCCCGATCCCATCTCATCTCGTGAATACCCCTATTAATTACTAATGGAATTGAGCTTTGGATCCAAGAAAATTTCTTTTTCTC